ATACTTAGCTCTATGTCAATCTTGAGGTTTGAGACTCTCTTTAAGAGACCTAAAGATACTTGACCACCAGATTGGCTTCAGGTTACAGCTAGAAGTATCTGTGTTTGGTATATTTTAGTTACGATTACTACACAAGCTCCCATAGCAATCTGCAGAGCTTATATTTCTATTCTCCTCAAGCAGAACAATTGTTTTTGAAGCAATCTCTCACACCGATGGTGTAATCTCCATTTACAACTTAAAAATGTCGCAGGTACATTATGAACCCTGACTCAACAGCCAAGCACACTTTATCCTTGGAAACCCAATCATCATTCATTCAAGATAATCTTGACTATCAATATTCACCATAGGCCCAATACCAGCCAGCACCTCCTGTATTCTTTCACCGAAGCCATTAATCATCATCATCAACACATTCTGCGATTCAAATCAACATCTCACCACCATTCAATTCTACACCAACTAACAATGACTCCTCCAAAACTCTACTGTAAAAATCTCCACCCCGTCAATTTCACAATCAACCGCATTGTACCTCACAATACAACACCTCAATCGAGCCTAGAAGTATCCGTCAGTATCTGGCACGCGATGTAGGTATACATATACATATACATATACAAATACATATACAAATACAAATACAAACATCCAAAGCTCTGGCGCGCGAGTCCGCTTGGGAAACGACGAATAATAATACATATGTACTGGCGAAGAAAATTATCCTCGCTGCAGATCATATCTCATACTTCTACGTTATAACCATTTCCATATATAGGTAGCGACCTGTGAAATTCTACAATGTCATTAGATAGAGGGGATATGCTAATATCTTATTGTAGAGTATTCTTGTGTTTGGTTTTTGTGGATGAATTATTTTTTATTGCGTGTATTCGCACATCTCTCTCTCTCTCTCTCTATGTAGGTATATACGAAATAGCGATCCCATCCAAGCAAACAATCATCCCCAATCTCAACAATAAATCGATGCTTCCGGCGACAACAATAACATCCCACACCCCCTCCACAAATACTAAAATCCACCCTCATCCCATCCTTCACGAATCTGTATACCGTAGACATGAAAATTCCCAGCGTCGTTAGAAACGATTTATCACCCACCTCTCGTCTCCCAGCTCAGCCATACCCCCTGGGACTTGCGATGGTGTTGTAGTTTGTGAAGAGGAAAGGGGGGGAACGGAAGTGGTGGTTTCTATAGTGTTTGATTTGATTTGTTCGTAGTGGGGTAATGTGTATCTATGATTTGGTGGGTGCTAGGTTCGTTCATCAGTGGGTATGTACTATGGAGGTGAGTTTGGTGCGGAGAATAGAAGAGGAAAGGAAATTAAAGATTGAAGATGGGATTTTGAATTTATGTCTTCGTCTTTCTTGGGTGATTCTTTAAGAAGGTCATTTCTTTCCATCTCGTTTCTCCCCGTAAAACAATCTATCGAATAAACAAAGTATGGGTGAGGGTGGAGGCTGGGAGTTGATGAGGTTATTGTGTTTGTAGTTTGGAGGATGCCGATTGATGTTGTGACTTGTAGCTATGGATTTGATGGATTATTGGAGTGGAAATAGGGATCTATAGAGTACTCAATTGACAGTATCTGCATGACAGCGATGAGAATTGAAAGGGGAAGACAGCGAGAATGTTGGGTTTCGTGATGATAGCGATATTATATCGTCGGGTCTGCTATACAAGTTGAAGTAATCTGAAAGAAAAACCACGATGATGAAATCAATCAACGACAATAACCCTTACCTTGGAAAGAAGAAACTGACTCACAAACGGCTCGAGAAAAATCTCCGAGCTCAACCAGGTCAGATGGTTTGATTGGAAAGTCGATATAATGTGTATGATCTCCCTTCTGCCTCACCACGAATTTCTGGTAAAGTTTCCTTGATCTTGATCAAGACAGGATTGTTCGTAAAAGGTTTATCGTTTTACACATCTTTTCAAATCCGTCCTACGAGAATTGATGTGCCAATTCCGAGGCATCTTGCGTAGGATTGAAGGTCACGAAGAGAGGAATATCAGAGACCAAGTGCGAATTCAAGGAAAGATAACGGTTTGTTCTAAATTAAATAAGATCTTTCTTTATAGGAGATTGAATTTCCACTTGCACGTAACAATTTTTCTTCATAAGACTCGAGGAAGAGTATTGTATTAAATTGAATTGCAGAAGTCTCTCACTCGAGAGCGTCAAAGTGTTCAACACACTTACTTACTCAGTTGGCCTCTCAGTCTATGCTAACCATTATCTTCCCCGTTGACCGTCCATCGCATTATAGATGGTGGCTGAAAGACGCGAAACACACGATCTTCTATTCAAATCCTGCGGCCTTCAAATATGAGATTTGAATACATGGGCCAAAGTCGAGGTTGGACGCTAAGCCATCACATCATTAATGTATATGGTAGCGCACTTGGAAACTCTCGTATACTGTGAGAGGATCTACCCAGCCCACCGTTGTGACGATGTATCTTGAAGGGCCAAGAATGAAATCCAAGATGTAGATAATCTCAAACCCTTTATTTCCCAGCAATCATAAATAGAATCCACGCCACTCAAACCCCAAATCTAGAATCCTACAGATAAGGAAAGCATAAAGATCCATAGAAATCGAGACCAAAAGCTGTTCCAAAGGTTCGATCTTGAAGTTGTTGCGCGTTTCGATTTTTGGTGGAGAAGTACTGGAACTGGAATTGTACAGTGTCGATTTGGGGATGGATTTCGTGATCTTCCCTGTTGATGGAATGATGCATGTGCTCCCGGCCCTTGAAACAAACGGAGCAGGGAATTTTGTTTGGCAGAATTGACTGTGGGCCTGCGGATGATTCTTATCTATCTGGCTCGCCTGGTATCTAGGTACACAGCACATTTGTCTATGGTTCAGAAATTGTCGTAAATTCATGAGGTAAGTATGCATAAATCCATTATCCTGTAAGATCTCTCGGCAGAGCTTGCTTGGAATTCAATGGAAGCAGAGGTTCTTGGAATCTGGATAATCTCCAGCTTGGCTAGGTACAGAGTAGTTATTCATCGTGCTAGTCAGTGAAGATCAGCATGCGATCTGTGAGTGATAAAATGGAGCCATCGTTGCATCCACCTTTTCAGGTTATTTTTGAAGGAAGATCCGGGACACCATATCTCTATGCTTAAATGGATAAATGGATAAGCATAAACCGACCACTTTTTGCACCCGTAGCATAGATATATCTCGTATGGAGTAGAGGATGATAAGGGGCTTTGGATGGAATTTTGGGGAGCAATCAAATGTTGGTGTATACTTGCCATTATCAAATGATGTGGATGCCGCAAAGCATGATGTGGTAAAGCATATTAAAGCACTAGGTATATATGAGGTCAGCCAAGGAGCAATAAGAGTTCTCCTCCTTCCGTTTCAAAGGTGTATTTCTACAATGTAAGTAGTAGTAATAGTAGTAGTAGTAGTAGTAGTAGTAGTAGTAGTAGTAGTAGTAGTAGTAGTAGTAGTAGTAGTAGTAGTAGTAGTAGTAGTAGTAGTACTATTACGAGTAGGTAGGAAGATTGTAATTGCACCTTCCAGGTCATAGGAATTGCCTTGTAGATCTCGTCAATCCTTTCCTCTCCATCGGCTATGGGTAACCTGATTTCCTCTACATGAAACAAACTTTACCACTCCCTTACTGCATTGCATGTTTCCCGAAAGACTGACTGGCCAAGCCTCTCTCTGCTGCATTATTCAATGGATATCTGAAAGAAATCTTCATTCTCACCAATTGTATTGTGGTTTCTAACGGTACATGACTTCAGTGTATGTATGTTTGCGTGTGGTGGCCGTGGCGCCGGGACGATTCAGTGGCTGCATGAATGAATGCCTGGGACGGAACACTACCTTAATACATCGCTGATGTTGCTATCACTTAGCATTGCCGCCAACCAAAAAGCAGAATGCGAAAGAGATGGGAGGAGCAGGCAACCAACTGTTGATTCAATTCGATATCCCCGAGTTGAGTAGATCATTTACTCAAAATGAGGGTTTGCGAAATGAAAGGTTACATGACTGATATCTGACAACATGACCACCGCTATCAAGAAGTGCTGATGTTTGATGAATTGTATCGCAAGGCTGATCGTACCAGCCAATATCGAATTCTCATTGGATCTACCTAGGGATTGACGATGGCTATTTTTCCTTGAAACCGACTTGATTACATCGTACCTAGGTAGGTAGTAGTGACTTTGACTTTTGTTAGTTAATTCAGTTGATTCCCCACTGAAAATCCGTAAGGTCCCTGAACTCTCGAGTCTCGACATCGTCACCAACAACTTAACTAGAACTTATCTTCATTGCCACAATCAACGCAGTAGAGTAGCTCTTTCTCTCAACCTCTCAACTCTCTTCTCAGGCTTTTGTTCTTGCTTCCAAGTTCTAATTATACGCATACGGTGCCTCTCTACTTCCCATTGCTAGCATAAGTTTCGCTCGACATTTCGTGGTATATCTACGACTCCACACACAGATTCTACAATCACCCATTTGGTGGCGGTACAATCTCTTCAACATTAGATCTTCCAGTCCAATCCTCATTACAATTACAACTTAAACGCCCATTCCATATTGATCTTCTCCAAATCTTCTCTGCAACTTCGTTTGTCTTACGCTCACCTCAAACCGATTAAATTTCACGTATTACGATCATCTCATCCCGTACAGGGTCTGAAATCTGGTGGCGTCAGTGTATTCACCTGGGGTGCATTTTCCCCTGCAGCAAGTTACATCGATCCAATTTCGAAAATACCTGTTTAAAATTCTCCATTTGTCCAATTAAAAGTACTACAGCTGGGGAATCAGAACAACTTATCCAGTGTTCTACAGATCTGATTCGAAAAGGATAAAGACCACCCATTGACCAAACGGAGCGATACATAGATGAATTATCTCTAAGTTTTGACTTGTGTCGTCTGGCTTCAATACACTAAAGATACAGTGACCTTTATAAGGTCACCATGTTGAGATTACTTCGAGGCTTAGTGGCGGGGTTTTTACCAAATAGCAATGAACCTAACTACGAATTAATCCATTCAAACGGAAATTCTTCACCGATGTCAACGACTTACACTATCAACGACGATACTTTTTCCCATTTAAAGCTATCTTTCACAAGATTCCTCTTCTTCCTCATACCTTCGCCAATACAACGTCGACTGCAACCGGCTCATTTCAAGCCTCAAAGATTGTACGCAACGTCCTATCTCGATGGACTTCGTGGAGTCGCTTCCTTGATAGTATTTTTCTGTCACTACACCGAGGGAAATGTACAATTTATGATACCTTCATATGGCTTGCCAATAGGTGACCCAGTTCCATCCTCTTTCATGCAGCTACCTTTTCTTCGAGTACTATATAGCGGACGACCCATGGTTCATATATTCTTCGTCATATCTGGATTTGTTTTATCATTGAAACCGTTGAAGTTAGCTCGAGCCCATAATTATGCCGATCTCCAAACGACCTTGTCATCATCTGTCTTTCGTCGGGGAATGCGATTGTTTCTGCCTACCATCGCCTCTACGTTCATGGTCATGATATTCATTCGTCTGCGTTTGGTTAGGATTGAAGGATTTGAGACAGCCTCACAACAGTTTATGGATTGGTTGCATGCAATCTGGACGATAGCTTATTCTTGGGATTGGGATAAGATATGGTGGCCAAAATACGATGTACATGTTTGGACGATTCCCATTGAAATGGCCCAGTCTATGTTTCTCTTCGTCACGATTACCGGTTTGGCGAGGTGCAAAGTATGGATTCGCCTCTTCATGTTCGTTGTCATTATGCTATACAGTCTCAAGTGTGGCCGATGGGCTGCGTTTGAATTCATTGGCGGGGCGCTGGTGGCAGAAGTGGGACTTATTCAACAAGCACGAGCTGAACGAAATTCCAATAAAGAGATGCCAGTCTCGGACGAAGAATCTTCCAATTCATGGCAAACATCGGTAGTTTATGCATTCTGGAGTATGAACTTTGTCTTTGCCATGTGGATAGCGGGATGGCCAAACAATGATGTACTGAGAACTCCTGGGCTCAGTGAGATCGCACCTTATACGATGGAACCATACTGGTCTCAGAGGCGACAGGAGGAACAAGCATTCTCTTGGTTTGCATTGGGGGCCATGCAAGTTGTCTTTGCTTGCCAACAACTTCCTCTATTACAAAAGTTTTTTACATCTGGTCCAGCGCAATATCTTGCAAACATTTCATATGCACTCTACCTTATGCATGGACCGTTTCTCGATGTATTCGCTCACCAATGGATGCCGATTGTTTGGTGGGTAGTAGGTGGGCGTGAGAATAGTGGTATGTGGACCCGAACCTTTGCTTGGTGGGGTGGAATGCTCGGGTTAGCAGTACCCATTTTTTGGGCGTCAGATATATTTTGGAGGGCTGTGGATATACCTTCTGTAGAATTTGCAAAATGGTTGGAGGGAAAATGTATTGTGAAGGAGGACTGATATTACGATACGAAGTGGGATTGAAAGACAATTTTGGAAGCATTTACAAGGCGTCATCGATATACGGGGATTTAGAAAACGGGCGTATGATGGATGGATGGAGAAATCCCAATGTTTCTTGGGGGTACGAAATAAAAGTTTAAGCGTCGGCAGTACACATCACAATATGTTTATCAGCGGGAGTTGAGGGTTATACGATAGAGGTCGATCTGGATTCGCCTCAAACATGAATATCCAAAAGGAAATAAAACCTTATGACAGAGCAAAGGTGTGACACGGTAACTCGGTGAGACATTTATTACTTCTTTCTCATTTAGAGATAGTGCCGAGTCTTATCGGTCAGCTGAAAGGCACAGAAGCTTATTTTGATTGTGTGACGATCCGTCCCGACACGGGTAATAAATTGAGGCGGGGGGTGCTTGACGGCTCGTGATTTTATGCCGCTGAAGATGACAATCCAGGTGATTTGTACGCCACCGATCAACCAATGAACACGAGTACATATCAAATTAAATTTCTTCGCAAACTTATCTACTTTTTGTGACCAACAACCTAGGTAATTGAAGATGTGCAATCAGCTGAGAATGGAGATGTAAGAGAGTCTCCTAAATACGAAAGTAACTTCGGGATTTGCTCCTAGTGTTGGTGTGAAGATTTTGACAAGAGGTGAGAAGGGTCATATTCGGGAGGTAGCACAAGCGATACAAGCGGGGCGATCATTAATCGTACGAGCTAGGTATGTGATGGGTTATGTTACATTTGTATCATGCTTTTGGATTCCTACATACTTGTCTCACAGGGAACAGTTTGAGATGATCTAGAACTCGGCTTGATCATCAATTAGTTCCTAGCTGAAAATTGCAGTTTTGTGGCAGCGATGGATCTGTATATGAGTCGTGATGGGTGGATAAAAGGGCTGAGATACCTGGCTACATTTGTGTGGATCATGATACCTTGCTTTTGAGTCGTACGGCATTGTTTATAAGAACTCTAGTCGGGTTTTTTATAGGACGAGTGCAACGGGGTTTGCATCCACCATTACGCATTGCATTTTCGGGCATTGTTTTCTTGCAGTAGTACGGTAACACCTCTGGTGTAAGGCTGTACGAGGGTATATTTCTTTGTTGGGAGAAGTGCTTGAATACCGAGCATACATTGCCAGGGTGTCAAATTGTTATGTCATCGAGAGACGAGGGAAATTTAAATATGGAGGGTGTGAACGCGGGGAATGGAGGGGATGAGAAGAAATTTGTGAAGGAGAGAAATAAGTTGGGTTCAAAATACAGAAATTATTTTACAGGAAAATTTCAAGGAATATCTAGGAAAGGTGAGAAGTCGGATCAGAAACGTCCACAGAAAGGAAATACTCGATCGAATTCAGAACCAATACCGACGCCAGTACCAACATTGGAATCCAGGTCAGAACCCACGTCAGAACCAACGTTGCTACCAGCATCTCAACTACAGCCTCGATCACAATCACATTCTCAACCACAATCTCAACCCAAAACCATAACCACAGTCACAATCATGCCTCCCAAATTATCTACATCTCAACCACGTTGGACCTCCGACATTCCCAAAACAACCCCGACGGTAATCTCCGACATCGAATCCGCAACTCATAGTATCCATTCTATCTTTCATGACCTCAAAACCATCACCCCAGAAGATGCAAACACACTTCTTCAACTCTTTTCCTCTCAGATCAAGGGTGTCCAAAATGACAACACTCTCCTTCTTGAAAAGACAGTGAAGCTCCTAGCATCTCAACCAGAAAATTCACAGATTGGAAAAAGTCTAACAGCAAGTTTTGTCAATACGCTGTGGGATGCCTTGCCGCATCCTCCTGTCAGGAGTTTGGATAAGAAGTTTATGTATAGAGATGCGGATGGAGGAAATAACAACATCTTAATGCCAGATTTGGGAAAAGCGGGGACAGCATACGCAAAAAGTGTTAAACCTGAGAGAATGAGGAAGAAGAATCTACCGGATCCCGGTGAGCTTTTTGATGGATTGATGAGGAGGGGCGGATTGGATGGAGAAGAGGCCTTCAAGGGAAGTCAGACTGGCATCAGTAGTCAGCTGTTCTATCTGGCTACAATTATTATTCATGATCTTTTTCTTACGGTATGAACATATGTTTCCTCTTAGAGTTTTGGTTTGAGCAATTTGAGATAAAGATTAAGGACTAACGAAATGGCAATAGGATCATGAAGATATGACGAAATCGAAGACTAGCAGTTATTTGGATCTCGCACCTCTCTATGGTTGTAATCAAGAGGAGCAAAATGCAGTCCGAACATTCGAGGATGGGAAACTCAAACCAGATTGTTTTTCCTCGAAGAGAATCTTAGGATTTCCCCCCGGTGTGGGAGTATTCTTGATCATGTTCAACCGATTCCACAATCATGTGGTTGGAATGCTTGCTCAGTCAGTACTCTTTATTTAGTCTTATCCCCTTTTGTTGAATATAAACCCTAATTGAAATCTCAGAATCAATGATAATGGCCGCTTCACAAAACCCAAAGCAGAGGCGGCAAAGTCTGCATTCGATAAATACGATAATGATCTCTTCCAGACAGGTAGACTCATCACTTGTGGCTTATATGTCAATATCGTTTTGAAAGATTATGTTCGTACGATTTTGAATCTTAATCGTACAACTTCAAAATGGGATTTAGATCCAAGAGTGTCTGAGACCAAGACCCTCTTGAGTAAGCCTGCTGCTGAGGGTGTAGGAAATCAAGTCACTGCCGAGTTTAACTTAAGTGTGTTCAATCCTCCTGAAAAATTTCAAATTTCTTGATCAATATACTAATCTGATAAAAAGTCTACCGCTGGCACTCGGCCATCTCCCAAAGAGATGAGAAATGGACCAACGCAGAATACGCCAGACTATTCCCCAATAAAAATCCGGCTGATGTTACGCTTCCTGAACTCCTCAGGGGTCTTCACTCGATGGAAGCAGAACTTCCTGCCGATCCATCTCAACGCTCTTTCGCAGACCTCAATCGTTTGTCTAATGGATCATACGATGACGAATCACTTGTCTCAATCTTCTCATCTTCAGTGGAAGATCTCTCTGGTGCCTTTGGGGCCACAAACGTCCCACCTATCATGCGCTCCATCGAAATTCTTTCTATTCTTCAAAGTCGTTCTTGGAATATGTGTACCCTTAATGAATTCCGTTCCTTCGTCGGATTGTCGCGTCACACATCGTTTGCGGATATCAACCCCGATCCTGTTATCGCAAAACGACTCAAAGAATTTTATGGAAGTCCTGATGATGTGGAATTTTATCCGGGAGTCGTAGTTGAAAAGATTAAACCACCGGTGGTACCAGGTAGTGGATTATGCACCGGGTATAGTATCAGTTATAGTATTTTGAGTGATGCGGTTGCGTTGGTTAGGGGAGATAGGTTTTATACTACAGATTATACACCAGAGAGTATCACTAATTGGGGGTTAGTTCCATCTTCCTTTTCTCTCTCTTCCTTCCATTTACCTTCTCTTCTTTTTTGATGAATATTAAAAGAAGTTACTAATATGAGAAAATAGATACAATGAAGTCCAATTCGACACCAATATCGACGACGGTGCTGTGCTTTACAAACTGGTTCTTCGAGCCTTCCCAAACCACTTCCAAGGGAACTCTATATACGCACATTTTCCATTCGTCACACCTGAGACTAATCGTGAAATCCAAAAGGATTTGGGGAGAGAGAACTTGTACAGTTGGGATAAACCTAAGAAGAAGGCAGATTTACCAAAAGTGGAGGGTTGGGAGGAGTGCAAAAAGATCTTGGATGATAAGGCTAATTGGAAGGTCAGTTTTTCTCTTCGATCTCAATTCTTGGGATTTTAAACCTTCGTGAGGAGTTACAAGAAGGATAGATACTAAACATGAACAACAGGTAACATGGGGTGCACCAATTGCTGTCCTAACTTCGCAATCGCCTTCCGACTCCACAAATACTACGGGGCCGCCAAAAATCCCTCCGTTCTGTCTCGCAGGAGATGAATCTATAAATACTACCTCGCGCTCTCTTATAATATCTTCTTTCCACGATCTTCCAACAGGCCATGGCAATAAGAATGATAAAGAACATCCTGATTGGCAATCCGCAATTGCGCAATTTTACACAGACAACACAGCCGATTTGTTTGCTAAACATAAAGTTCTCATTCCGAACCTAAACGCGTACAGCAATGCCAATGGTAACGGAAGTGTCACAAGAAATGGAGCTGTAGCACGCAGAAAGACCTACAGAGTGGACATTGTATCTGACATATGCAATCGCGTCTTCACTCGTTTCGCGGCCGGCGTCTTTGACTTTCCGCTTAAACTAGGGATGGGCAATACCGTCGACGTCAATGTAACTACGGATATTGAAGATGGATATACAGAAGAGGAATTGTACACGGCACTTTCCACTGGTTTCATATGTATTTTCAATAATTTTGATGTTACAAAATCTTTCGTGGTGAATCAGGAAGCAAGAGCTGTGGCTAAGAGGCTGGGTGATATCTTGATGGAGCATACAAATGGAGGTGGGATTGGAGGGGTAGTGGAGGGATTGAAGGATAGATTACATAGTTTGGTTCATGATGATGAGACGGAGAGACATGCTGAGGAGAAAGTGGCGAAGGAGAAGGAAAGATTGGCGTTGAAGGGGTATGGGAAGGCAATGCTACAGAGATTTTTGGACAAGGGAAAGAAAGCTGGATGGGGAGTTGAGAGGGTAGTTTGGGAACAAATGTTCGTGTTCTTTTTGTTTCTTTTATTTTCCCTCCCCTTTTATACCATTTCACCTACCCATTCCTATACATTGAATTATCACGCTAACTTATTCACACAGTCTTCCAACCTCGGCAGCTATGACGGCAAATCAGTCGCAGCTTCTCTCCCAAGTCCTGGACTATTATCTCAGTGATGCCGGATCATCACATCTACCAAAACTCTACACTATTGCTCATGAAACTAGCAAGGAGTCTGATGATTTATTGTTGCACTAGTATGTTCTCCTTTCCCATCTTCATCTCACCCCAAACAACCCCAATCTATCCTCAATAAAGAAGAGGAAAAGAAACAAAGACTAACACCATCCAAAGCTTCCTTGAAGCAGCCCGACTCCGGGGCACCGTCGCGCTTTTCCGCCTCTACTCACCCTCCCAAGCCCCCTCTCAAACCAGCAGCAGCACCCCCGCCCCCGGAACCGTCGTACTCCTCAACCTCCCCCTCGCCCACCACGACCCCGTCGCCTTCCCCAACCCCGAAACCGTCGTCCTCGACCGAAATCTCGACTCCTACCTCATGTTTGGCCACGGCCCGCACGAATGTCTCGGTCGCGATATCGCTTTAGCGGGAATGGTGCGCGTGTTTAGAATTATCGTCGGGTTGAAAAATCTAAGATTGGATGCAGGTTCGAGTGGGTATAGTAGGAAGAGTACAGCGGGTGAGAGTAGGGGAATGAAGACTGTGGAGACGGAGTTCGGCATGGCGTATTTGGATGATGAGTTGGCGACTTTGGGACCGTTTCCCAAGGGGTTGAGGGTTTGTTGGGATGAGTAGGGAGAGAGAGAGGGAGGGGGTCTAGTGTGTGTGTGCGTGTGTGAGTTGTGGGGGAGGTGTTTTTGTTTTGTTTATCTATCTCTTTATTTATGTATCCACGGGGAAAGGAATGGGAAATTGAGACTAGGGTTTATAGTATTCATCATCTAACAACATTCTGTCTTTAACTTAAGGGGCAAGTTGTTAGAAACACAACGGATTTTTTCTAATTTCTTATACGTGTGTGAAGATGCATCTGCAGAGCTGTCTATAGACTGCAGATAGGTATCGTCTATATTTCACAGAGTTTTCGATGATATAGAAATAGAGAAACCAGAGATTTTACAGTATTGCTTGCTCGTGTTTATTTGTCTGCAGTGGAAATTTGTGAGATTGCATACTGGTGAATCGATTGGGTGGCGTGAGTAGGGCTCATGAAGAATCGGAAGTTTTGCTGGTGCTGATATTTTATTTCTTGGTGGTGGTGGCTGTTATGATTATTAATGTTGAGATACGGGGGACCTGGAATTGATTTATGAGTTATCATTGTCAATCATGAATTCATTCATATCATCATCATCATAACTTTTCCACACCTCCTACTCTTATTAACATAGAACTCTAACCACATCTTCAACCCCATAAAATCCATACGCATCATCTCATACCCTTAACATTCACTTCCTAAGCCATACCTACCGTAGAAATCTTAAGTTCGTTTGGATGAAACTAGGCAGTGGTTTTGGAGGATTGGTCTTTCACATCTGGCTTTTTATATGGGAATAAAACAATGTAGAGTTTGAGGGGTTCAGTCTGATAAGCTTGGGTTGGAGTGGGAATATGATGTGACTGGCGAGATGATAGCATTTATAGATTCTGGGAGAAAGGATAATGATTGGTATATGCGTATGTGTATGTGCGCATTTTTTAGTTAGGGTAATGTTGTGTGTTGAGATATATAAATACGACGTTTGATTTCCAAGAATGGCTTTGAGAAATATGAATGGAGTACTATGGGAATTAGCAACTGCATCGTGGCATTCTTGAAATTTTCTTGGAATCAGAATTCTTTGTCTTTAGGTTTGGAAGGGGGTTCTTTTTAAAGGTTGCATTGGCGAATGAGTGTTGTCGTCATTGTCATTGTAATTGTCGTTTGTGAAATTAAACGATGGCAGTTATATTCGGAGAGAGCTTTTCATTGCCCTTTTACGTGTCAAGAGTATATTGAGAAGATACATATACCTATGATAGAGGGACCATTCAGATGATAATTTTCATCGAAGAATATGCAAATGCCAATATACATGACAGAAATAGTATTATTTTACTCACCATGTCCTCCCATCTTCATGGCGTTGACGTTTTTAGAGAGAGTTGAGATTTGAAAAAGCTAGTGGCTTTATGCGTGGAAGAGTGAGAATGGACGAAAAGAGGATGAGGTGGAATTTTGGTATATTCATTGAATTTGTAGTTTATTATATTGAGTTGAAGCTTGGGTGCCACTTAAGTGAATGATGAAAGGATACATAGAGTGTTCGATCAGGTAGTGACATCTTTTTCTCTTTATCGATGGAATCTCATCATGAAGTGATTCTTCTTGTTCACGAGTTGCTGGGCTTTCAATACCAGTTTCTTCGAATTTGGGAGGAAGGGTATGAGGTCTGTAAGAGGAAAGGAAAACATTGTCGGGGTATGTATGGGGAAGCAATGAATTGAGAGAAGGTAGGCGACTCTTTAGCGAGATGAGAATCAAAAGTAATAAACAATGAAGGTGGATTTTTTCCACGATGAGGAGGTACGTACGAGTAGTTAGCATCGTTCAACTAAACAGCTTTTAGTTATGTAGGTAGATCAAGTGATTATGACTGTTATTAAAGGCAATAAAGAATATTCACCAGAAAATAAGGGTTGATAAAGTAGATTCGTTAACATTATATACATTATAAATAGTAGCCAAGCCCATTTTAGACACCATAACCTTTAAGTAAGAACGCCCGCCACCCCCAAACAAAACCCGCTATATGCATGCCATCTAAGTGCACTTTTGGTCATAATTCATTAAGCGTTACCCATAAAGACTCTCATCCCAATCCTGTGCTCTCGGTATCCAGTAGTCGACCTCATCTCTAGAATTTAACATTCAATTTCCATCCGCCACCATAACCTCTTGCACATGCCATTGCAACTGCGCTAGAAGCATAGCACAGACCAGTGAACAAAATCAATCCCCAGTAAGCACCCCCGCAAGCCTCAATTAGAACGCCAGCAATGGGAACACCGGTCAAACATCCAATACTGACAACTGAATAACAGGTTGCATAGTATCTGCCATAATCCTTGGTGTCGCACAGTTGGCCTACGCAGACGGGGGTTAATCCAACATTGCTGCCGCATGCAAAACCAAGTATTATGACGGTGCAAATTAAACCCGCGTAAGTGTTTCCGAAAGGAAGCCAGACGACAAAACAGGCAAATACGGTAAGAGAGAGTGCCATAATAATAGTGTTGAAACGGCCAATGATATCGGCTATCAAGCCCGGGAGGAAGCGGCCGACAACAGATGCAGCAGATAAGATGGACAGAGATTGATAGGAAATTCCTGCATCAAATCCTTGATAAAGAGCGTAGGATGTAATATAAGTGACTGGAATAAAAAACCCCCATTCAAGGAGATAGACACCCAACACCGTGAAGGCAAAATCTGGCTTCTTGAAGATTTTGATATCTGGATGAGGGCTCTGAGCAGTTCGGGAACGTGGGAGACGAGGTTTAATGAGGAGGTTGGCTAGAGCGGTGATGAAAACGAAGATGAAACCCATTACACGCATTGTCCATGAGAACTAGATTGAAATCGTTTAGTAATGTTCTGAGTTAAATGGAGAAGTTTTGAGAATGTATACTTACACCAATCTTTGGAATGAGATTCTCCAAGAGAAGTGGGAAAACAATGCCACCGACAGCACCACCAGTGGCTGCGATTCCAGTTGCATTTCCACGCTTCTTATTGAACCAGTGGCCAATTACTGCGACTGACGGAGTAAAGGTCAGTGAACTTGCAAAACCTCCGAGTATGCTGAATACGGCGATCCAATGCCAGTACTCTGGGAACAGTTAGCTTTGCACGATCTTGCTTCTTGGGTTCAAAAACTTACCAGTACACTCCCCAAAGAGGAAGACTGAAAGAACGAGTAAAATGCTTCCTGGCAGAACCAAATATCTTGGTCCATAAACGTCGAATGCAGGTCCAATGTAAATGCCGCCAATGAACAGAATGAATGAATATAACGAGAAGATCCATCCAATTTGCGAATCAGAATAAGATGCCAACTGGTTCGAAGCTAGGTAGGCTTGAAATGAGCCTGTGGAATTTGCAATACCAAAACTACAAAACATGCCACACCATGATCCAAAGACAACTAGCCAAGCTTGCAATCCGCCCTCGGGGTACTTATAATCATCCTCAGAATCCGAATCAGATTCATCTACCAGTGGATCAGGGAGTGGAGTAACAGTAACAATGACTGTTTTCTCTTTCTCTGAGCCGAGAGCTCCGGCTAAGGAGCCCTCGTTTGCATTCTTTTCAAGATCGATTGTTGAAGTGGAGTTTTTGTTGACCTGGGATTGGTCCATGGTATGCGGGTTGAGATGTTTGAGGGATTGTGTGCTTATCGTTGTATCTGATGCGAAAACTCTATGCCTAGCAACAGATATAACGCTTTAACAATCAAACGCGAATGGGGGGAAAAGGGTACAAGATCCAAGAGAGTGGTAAGAAGTATGGGGCCAACTTTGATGCTGAGAGACTTCCTATGTGCTTTTGATGAGGATGTGATGATTTACTGTAAAAGACAAAGGAAATAACGACTTCATATATGAAAGTTGCGCCAGGGTGCTTCAGCTTCAGTGAGGATACTTTCTGGTTGTCAATGCCCAACGTTACCACTCGGCTTGACTGAACGCCATCCCTTTCGAGATCTAGCCCTCTCCCCCAGAGCCGACAGCAAATATGTTCTTGGTGTGTGATCACTACAAAGCTCCATTATGGCACACACTAATAACTTCACGATGCTAGCTTGCGATGGTAATACACCCAAAAAGTCTTGCCAACTCAAAATCTGGAACAAAATCCGCAGTGCCGACGTAGTACTTCGAACGCTCTGGAGCATAACGTTGGGCTTATGTCACTCGTGATACCCAAGAATAACGAAAACAGTAGACGAAATTGCGCAAAGGAGAATAAAATTTGAAGAAAAAAAAGAAACAATTCTCCACCATTTTGCGGTCAACGGGGAACCTCTACTAGCTCACCGTGAAGCTTGAACTTGTCAGGTTTTGCGGGGCGGAAAAGGTTTCCAATTTTGGAAAAACAATGCGGATTTCAATAGATCATCTCCATTTCAACGGTACCGACGGTATCCATTTTCTCACAGACAAAGTCAAAAATATGATGTGAAAATACTGATGTGCTGGAGGTGACAAATGAATCGTTGTTTGACAATGGAAAGATTGTGAAGGGGGTAAAATAAAAGAGAATGATTTGGCGACGCAAACGAGAGTTAGCGTGGAAATTCTCGGCAGAAGTTTCTCCGAAGAACCTTTTTCTACAATCTCCACCTTCACCTCAACTCCATCCATCCTCATCTTCATTCTTCACTCTCAATTCTTCACTCTCAATTCTTCACTCTCAATTCTTCACTCTCAATCACGAATTCACTCAGCGCTCCAAAGTCTTCGTAACCTTAAGAGCATCTGTTCAATAAAATCTATGAACGTGTCGATCCCCTCTCATGATCTCGATCAAAGCGTCATTTCCCTGAATGTCTCGTATACCAACGTGTTTGATAAATTATCACACCGAGGGACAGCGTTCTCAATGCAGTACCTCGAGTACATGCAGGGACCATGTATATTTGTTCTAGAATGATTCGATTGGGCTGGAAAGCTTCTTTGCAGATGAATTTGGAAGCTATTAGCAAACAGAAATTAAAAAGTCCATCTTATGAAGCGCTTAAGATGGATCCGGGTCGTGCACAAAGCGTTCTTCTTGTGGGGATAATTGACATCCCGGTTGTCATGAACACGGTTGGATCCGAGGTGTCTGTCTTCTCCACTTGTTCCACTTAGCTCTGGGCACATCTATCACTTTGAATGAGAATCCAATGTCTGAATATGCTCACATGGCATGCAAATATCCCTATCGGTGTAGCATTACCTACCAGTGTAAGGTTAAAGTTGCTTAGTATTGTGGAGAGCGTTTTTTTTACCAGCAGAAATCCATATCAACCGGCAGGCGACCTAAACCTTAAGAAAAATATGCAAGAAAATGGACGTTCTTTTTTTCAAGGTTGGCTACAGCCTACAGGTACGGAGAAAGCGGACTGGTACCTGGTCATTTCCCATCTCTACTTCGGGGCCATAAGTCCCAACTGCAAATCCACAATTTTCATAGCTCACTTGCACATCTATATATATGCTGAAGCTTGGGCCAGGCGAAGTTGCAGACTCACGCTATCCACGGAAAGAATCCAAGCTCTGAAACCTTAGAAATGAACAGGGCATCTCAAAGTTAGGTGGTGATATGTGCTGTCTAGTCTCCGGTACATGAACAGTGCCATCAGTCCTACTTGGTATTTTGGGTGTCAGTAGTTGAAGTAAAATGTTGATGAAGGAGATATGGTTCATATCTCAAGGCCTCTAGAAACCCGGTGTAAATTTTAGTGAGCGTCGTAACACAGTAGATGACGAGCTGTGTAACTCAAAATATGGGAGTTGCCCCTAGTGTCCTCAATCGTGCGAACATCTCTTGATTCTGTACTACTGCCAGCCTCATGCCTTTCAACAATTTGATGAATGAACAGAAGTTCTTTGCAGATTCAACCCCCTTTATTCGCCAATTCGAATTTCGTGAAATTTATTCCATCTCCAAATGCAGATGCTTTAGGACAAAGAAGAACAGGCACAGGATGTACTACCAGTCAAAGAACAACAACCCTTTGAGTGGAATTATCATCAAGAAGGATGGTCAAAGTTTTATTCTCCAAATGTACGATTTTTGTTCATCTTTACATTCGCAATTTATGGTGATATCAATGATCAAATTCAAGAACAATGGAAAACTCAGCAAAACTCAACGAGTACGCAAGCAACCGAGCGAAATTGGTCGCCAATGAACAGAAATACAGAGGGGGTGAGTCTTCCGTTCATTTTTCAAATCAAATTTGCCAGGCTAACGTTGTAGACTATGATTTTGTTAAATCTCTTTCGCCTACAGCCCAAGCCGCCAATACCATAGTTTCTCGCATTCAACAATTCAACAGGCAGGTTCTTTTTGATCCAGTTGGGTCAATGAGCCGCTTACGTTCAGACTCTGGTTTCCCCCGCATCAAAGAATCCATAGCAAGGACAGCTTTATTAGAAATAATGAAAAAGTTACCAAAGGGTGCAATTCTTCACGCTCACCACGCTGCTTGCGTGTCGATTGATTTTATCATTGACAAGATGATCGAGACTCCGGGCATGTATATCAGCGCTTCAAGGCCCCTTGACGAATGGTGGGCAAAAAGAGAGAAGAGAATAAAAATAAAATTCACATACAGTTCTTCGCAACCTCGACAGACTAGAAGCTCAGTGAACAATCTTTGGGATCCTGATTATGTACCCAACTCACTTGTTCCAGTCTCTCTTGCGGCGTCGACATACAGTGATTACCCTTCCTCTATGAACTATGATAAATATCATATCGCACCTGGTTTTGAAAGACAACCTCTTCAGGGAAAGTCTTACTTTATTACCTGGTTGAAGATTCGATTGACGAAGGCGGAGTCCCAGCGTATAGATGTTAGTGGGGGTATCAATGAAGCTTGTGATACATTCCAGAGTGGAAGAAAGCTACTTAATACGATAATTCACAACGAGCCCGTTTTTCGGCCATTCCTCAAGCAACTTTTTGAAGGGTTGGACGAGGACAATGTTAAGTGGATAGAGATTAGGATAATTTTCAAGGTTGACTTTCAATTAGAATGTAGTGATACACCATCTGGAGAGATTGAAATGGCAAGAGTAATTTGGGAAGAAAGAGAAAAGTTTGCAATCACGATGAAAAAGAAAAATAAAGACTGGTGGGGACTGCGAATTATCTGGACAGGCTTGCGACTGTGGAAAGATGAAGAAATCAAAGCTGGTATGTTTCCCTTCTACGTATCTCTGGGAAAATCTGACTCCATCTAATAGATATGGAGACTTGCATGCGTGTGAAGGAACGATATCCAGATCTGATCTCAGGATACGATCTAGAGGGACAAGAAAGACTCGGTCGTACGCTCGAAGATCTCATACCGGTTTGCCTCTGGTTTAAGCAACAATGCGAAAGCCGTAACTTAAACATTCCATTCTTCTTACACGCAGGAGAATGCTTGAGTAATGGTGATGTAAATGACCATAACCTTTAGTAAGTATGCTCGAACCTTAATTCATGCTCCTGAATGCTAATCGTTAGTTGTTTAGCGATGCAATTCTTCTGGGTACTCGACGTATTGGTCATGGATATTCACTTCCTAAACACCCGCTGCTGGAAAAGATTTGCAAAGAGCGACAAATCATGATCGAGTCCTGTCCACTCTCAGCTGAAAGTTTGAGATCAACAAATTCTGCCAATGCTCATACTTTACCAATGCTGTTGGCAAAAGGTGTAAGCGCTAGTTTGAATTGTGATGACCCATTTTTATTAGGTCAAGAAATGATAGGCGTTTCAATGGAATTCTTCATGTGCATCTGGTCATGGGATAATCTAGATCTCGGTGGTCTGGTATGTTTACTTCCTCAATGGATCGATTTTATCATTATGAAAGAGTTTGCAAGCTAATTTATGATAAAAGGGTCATTTGGCACAAAACAGCGTGAGGTGGTCACAATTTGAAGATCAGACTGACGAAGATTGGCAATCAGGAATCCGATCAGGTGAGAATTCAAGGAAAGGATTAAAGGCTCAGAGAATGCGAGAGTGGAAGAAAGACTGGGAAGAATTTTGTGCTTGGGTTCTTGAAAGATACGGAGAGCCTTGGGGAAACGAAGATGCTTTTAAGGCTGCTTTGGAAGAGAGAGCGGAATTGGTGGAGCAAAACATGGCTGATGAAGGTGCGGTAGAAAAAGAACTTGATAAAATAGCAGCGCGGTTCAAGGAAAAAGAAGAGTCGATAAGAGGATGGAGAGAGAAAGAGATAAAGAAAAGGAAGTTCATTACTAGAGCGAAGGAACTGATGGCTGAGGAAAAGTTACAGAAAAATATGTCTAAAGGCTTGAAGAACCCACCTGACAGTCTGATAAGACTCCAAAGATGGTGTTGAAGAAGCTACCAAAGAGTTAGAACTGGATCCCGGAAGCAATTTCGAGATGTATTACTGCTCAAGGTATTAAGGAGATTGCAGACATAAATCTAGAATGACCAAAAAGACTGATCAAAGCTAGGTGTATTTGAGTTCCCGATCATTATGTCAAATTTAAGAAACAGTAGCAGGTCACACTGCTAGCTTTTGTGATACATATCATTATATAATGTATAATAAAAAAGGGATACAATGTTAGTCAGGAGTTCCAACAATGAGAATGACTGTTCTTTCGACTATGGAGAGTGGGAGATGACTAAAGCAAGGGAATTCGAAATGCATTCTTTACTCCATCCAGACAAGCTTCAATATGACGATAAGTGGCTAAGTCTTAGGGAAGGAACGGGTTGAAATATTAGTTTTCTAATTCATATCCCAGTACCTACTTATCACTGCAGGGTAATGTGGGCTGTTATCGTTGACATAATCCATACAATTCAATTTCCAAAGCAGTACTTCAAAATTGAGAACCTTTCATTTGATACAAGTAAGGCAAACTCCGGTAACGACATCATTCGATTCCGTAGGTGGATCCATCCAAGTGAATTTCTATTGTATTCATACTTCTGTCGGCCTTTGAGCTGTTTGAATACTCAAAAAAACAAACAGTTTCAAAGAACTGCGGCCTCTGTGCTTCAAATTACTCAAGAAAGCTTTTCAGTCTAGACTGGGAACTTCCACAATCTTTAATATTACTACTGCAGATAAAAGTCTCCATCACCTGATAAAGATCTGGTACGATGGATGCTCAGGATGTCTCCGTTCCGCCGTCATTGATCTTGCAACAATCGAGCAACGAAAAACCAGCTTCCACCCCGAGCGAAAATGCTCTCAAGAAACGAGGTAGACCGCTCAAAATCGTTCTTCTAATTACCTCTACTTCTGAAACAATCTATGAGACAGAACATTCTGAAGCTCAGGATGGAGGAGAACATGTTCCTATGCGTGCAGGATCGACAATTGCGCCAGCCAATAGCACGAGGCGCAGCGGACGATCGAGAAAGGTTACACTCTCGTATCAAGAGCAACTTCAGTCAGATGGAGAGCAGCCCGTCGCAAAGCGTCATAAGAAGAGAAATGTCACATATGATGACGATGACGATCAGGACCCTAGCAATCGTATCGTTCCACCAGCAGAAAGAGATTGTACTTACTGAAAACCCTGTTCAGGATGTCTGGAATTTCAAAATTTGCCTGAAAGTTCCAACAAAAAAAATGGTTGGAAGTATCGGAAGCGCTTGAGTGCAGTGGCATTGGTTCTATTTTCACAACTTATCCGTAATTGCCAGACGGCCGCCCAGCTGTTACAAGATATCAGAGAGGTATTATAAATGAGGTCTCTTGGCTATCAGACGAAGGAACATCTGACTTCAAGGTTCATAAATTTCTGCGAGGAACGTGGGCCGGCAGGAGATTTGAGAAAAGAGTCACTTTTGAAAGAACTCAAGCTTTGGTAAAGCAGAAAGTTGAAGAAATATGTGAACAGATGAAATATGACATTATTAAGGGTTATTTCGAAAAGATCAGAAACTCGGAGACAGAAGGAAGTGGCAGGTACCATTCGTGTTGATTTTTTGTTGCTCAAATACTCATCATGGAATTAGATATCCCTTCATAACAATATTCATCGCAGAGTGAAGAAGATTGGACAGAAGAGGAAGAGAGAATTTCCCAGGCCGCCTGGGACTATGATGAATTCAAAAAGAGGAGTCTCCATTTCGAGATATATACTTATTGACTGGAAGAGCTTTGCTCTTTCACGCTTAAAGATCCTTTTGTCGACGACCCCCGACACACATATGATTCTGATGAAGGATGGATGGATCATGCACCATGGCACTAGTATTGATAACAATATGTTTAGGGTTAATCTATCTTTCCTGTTTAATTTACATTCGGAGATGAGAAAATTTCACCATTGAATACTTCGGGTATAATTAATGAATAATTGATGGATGTATATTCAGAACCAAATGGAGGACTGTTCATCGGAGGATAGGATATCTAGTTAACGTCTGCCTTTAATGATCGGCGAGGAGATTTCTATTAACTTCATAGTTTACTACAAAGTAGCCAAATACATCAAACCCGTGCCTTCAGTGCAACCTATGTACTCAGCGTCCAAATCTCCTGACTTCAAAATACACAGCTCCACAAACAACACCGACTTTCCCTTTTCCAACTGGCCTCCAGGCCCATAAAGACTCATAACTGTCTTTCTCAATTCCACGTGACCCTTATGCGAACGGCCTGCTTGCTCGAAATGTGATAGGTCCAAGAAATATGCAAGTTGATTCGTCTCTGCGATAGCTTCGGTATCAAGCTCTAAATTTACTTTGGCATCAAATCTTTCATTCACAATCTCTGGGGTGGGGTTCTCGTGGCCTATGTGTGTTGTAAATGCCACCACGCCATTTTTGTTGCGTTCAGTATCGAGATGAGATATCCAGGATTGAGCATGTGGATTAATTTGCTTGAGCCAGGCTTCTGTCTCCGCGGGTGGGATATTTGGCTGGCGTTGTCCTTCACGGACGAAAACGAGATTCTCTGGCGGGCTGGAAATGGTTACTTTGCCTAATTTTATTTTGGAGCTACGGGTTTTAGGTATATCGATGATTTTTCTGGCGTCGTTTGGTTTTGCTCTGGTAGGAGTCACATAAGCGGAGGTAAATGTATCGTTGGGATTGGTATGAGAATCTGGCGTTTTGGATAGTCGATTACGATATACGCCCCAGTATCCTTCGTCGGAGCTTTGTTTTAGGGGAAGGAGAGTACCCATTGCTGAGGCGACGGGTTGGCTTGAGGCGAACATGAAGCGCGATTTTGGGACGGTCATTACTTCGCGCCAGACACCTGCGTCTGGGGGGAGAGAGTTCCAGAATTCTTGAACTGGGGAGGAGGCTTGGAATGATTGGTAGGAGGAAGAGGACAGCCAGTAGGCGATGAATGTTGTGGATTTGGGACCATGACGAGGAAGCCCGTGACTCTCGTCTTGAAGGTGGTCGACACGATTGGCAGACGAAGAGAGCAGTTTGTACAGGGCGGATATGAAGATTGCTTTTTCTGGCGTAAGTTCTTCGTGTTGGACACCAAAAATACCATAGGTAAAGATATAGTCTTTCCCGTCCATATCAACAAGGAAAACCATAATGGGCAACTTTTTCGCAGCTAATAATAGTAAATGGTAAGTAGTCTCGTGGGGGTTTACGCTTGTCTCCAGAAATCATGTAAAATCTTTACTTTTGAGCATCTGAGAAAGTACTAATATGAAAGCAGTATTGAAGGATCTGAATGAGTTTTTATAATTCCCTACTGTGCATGGGGAAAAATTTGCCCATGTATGGGTGGCCCTTAATTTCAGCATGACTGGCTCTTATCTTCATGTTGCGGATGTAGCATCCGCTCCAACGACCTAGCCGTGTATAGATGATGACATTAAATATATAGTAAGACTGCGTTCGGATAATCCGGAGCCACTTAGCTGCGGGGATAGGCTATTGAAATTGTACGACATTGATTCGGTGAAACACATAGCTTAAAATGCGGCAATTTTGTGTTGATTTCTTGATTGAATGCGAGAGATTAGAAGAATATTTACGGTATATTAGTCCTAGGAAGTTGCCGATAAGCTTCTACACTATTGATGTCTAACTAACCACGTTTTGCGTAGCTCAAAAGCTCAGACCATAAGTTTATTACCACCTAGTACCTGCCGACAATGACAACGACCTGAAAAGCTGCAACAGCGAGTGATATACATACTTAGGTACCGGGAACCAGCTTTCAATGTGCATCTTTCTATATTTCAAAGCCAAGGGAAAGATCTCCATCAATCGTTAATCTTGCTGACCGCGGAAACAATTCCATTGCGAATGAAAAATGTAAGTTTCACCGGTGGGGCGAAAACAATGACATTGTCATATGCATGCATATCGTTTACTAACAGAGTTCATTTAGCTCCTTGTCCTATGTAGCATACTTCAACTTGCAAGAACACTATCAAACGTGCGGGTTTATGTTGTGTATCCGCAGTCATGGATTCCATGACTTCTAATGAGCAGACACGTCTACGAATCAAAGTTGCTTGTGAAGAGTGTCGAAAGAATAAACGAAAGGTACCTATTGACAACAGAATATGACCTATAATACTCCGTAGCATTATATACTGACTGTGAGTAGTGCCAAGGCCAGAGACCAAAGTGTGCTTTATGCGAGAGAGGAGGGAAGCTGTGCTATTATCCCCCAGATACCTCGCGAAAGTATGTTCTCAGTTGACTGAATCAGTCAGTCTACACCACCAGCTTAACTAATGCGTACAGACGTAAACATTGTGACGATAGTTATGTCCGTAGTCTCGAAGACAAAGTGAAAGCTTTGGAGGCCCAGTTGGCAAATTACCAAAGTTCGGAGCCTCAATCTCAACACAATGAAGAATATATGGGCCATGAGATTTTGCCTTTATCTAGTTCTGCTACCAGGAGTTCTCTTACTTATGAGTCTGAGGTCATAACTCCGGAGAGCATTGATGAGCCTAGTGATCCGCGCTCGCAGGTTGCAATGAAAGAGCTTGCTTCATTGATGTTAACCATGGATATCGAGGAGAAAGGTGAACCATCATTTGCTATCCCAAGGAACAAGTTTTCCTCTAGGCAAAACTCCATTTCAACCGAGAACTTGAATCCTAATACTAGCAGTCATGATACAGACTTGGGCAAAATTGGATTCTACACAGAAACACGAACACATATCGTTGAATGTTTCATGGCTGCATTCAATATTTATCATCACTTTATAGAACAAGAAGAGTTGCAGACCATTCTATTGGAGACCACATTCTCAACAGAGCCGGATTTTGATTTCCGTAATCATGCTTTACTTTCCGTGGGTGCCTTTCTTTCTCCAAAGTCGGATGCAAAGGAGTTGAGTAGTCATCATGCCACGTCTGCTGAGAATACACTATTGAGATGTATACGAGAGCATCCGAGTGACTTGGTTGTTCAAGGACTTACATTATTATCGTGGCGAGAGTTGATGCTGGAAAATAATAGCATGACCTACAATTATATAGGTATATCTTCTCTTATCTTTTTCTTCAACATTTATTGATGGAACTATTGCAGCTATGGCCACAGGCTTGATATTGCATCTTGGGCTTCATGTGAGCAGCCTCGGAACAGAGAAGTCGCCAGACTTGACTTCGAATCGTACTTCCACGGCCGATGACTACGTTCGTAAACGCCGAGTAAGGTCATTTTGGGCTTATTTCTCGGTGGATCGGCAAGTCTATCTGTACACAGACTACAATATACAATGATGCTAACGTATATGTGCAGCATGGTAACCTCAAGTCTTGGGATGAATTGTACCATACACTGGCAACGTATTCGAATATCCTCATTTCTCGGTGTCTTGGATCATAACCCGTTACCTGATGAACTAGCTCATGATAAGTTCTGCCAGCTATGGCATCTTTGGGATTCTTTCATGGATCAGAGGTAGGTTCTTGTATCAAAACTAAAGAAGAATCAGCTCACACTATTAATTAGGTATGCGTTTGAGTGGACTGGTTTGAAAGCTAAGCAACGGCAAAATCTTTTGAGGCGCGCACATCAAGCACTCACAGATTTCTATGCAAGTACAGATGATAAGCTAGCTCTGAGTAAGACTTGCATGCCTCAAACTTTCCTTCTTTTCCAGTTGGCATATCACACTGCAATATTGCTCATTCATCGTCCCTTTTTAAATGAGCCTAAAGGCTCGGAAACTCTGAGCTTTGCTCTGAGATCAGCGACAAACGCCGCTGCCTCGATAGCTCGAATTGTTCGAGCATATCGAAAATTTCGTGGTTTCGCTGATGCCAATCCTCAAGTCATAGATTATATCCTCAGTGCTGCCGTAATCCATTTATTGAATGCAACATCTGGTCGCAACTTTTTAGGGAGGCAATCTGCCAATAGCCTGCAAAGTTGTTTGGATGCTCTAGTTGAGATGCAGAGTACGTGGATGCCACAAGCAAGCAGAGCGATACGAGAAATTCAAGAGCTCGCAGCCAAATGGAAAGTAGTTTGGGCATTACCATTAAAATTTAGCCAGCGCCTATCAGAAAGGGAAATTCGTCAAGACCGCAGTCGAATCATACTACCGATGCAAGAATATCCAAATGTTCTTACTAGTGGCGCTCAAGTAGTACTCCATGGATTTAATATGTGTGAAGTTGCGAACAGGTACATACATCCTGGTTTCAATAATGACTGTGGGGCTCTGTGGGATCCAAGCTTGTTTGAAAATGCTTTGGAGCATGTCAATCTACCTGAACATAGTGCGTATCAATCAAGTCTTGAGTGGCTGTTTGACGAAAGCAATCCTGGTCTGCAGTAGTAGCCTAGGAGATAAGAAAATTCCCGAAATCTGGCGATCAGTCGGACGATGTAGCCGTCGATTGTGCTTACACCCGAGTAAGACATATAAAGTTGCTTCTCCAAGGAGAATGTAAACATTCAAGCGGAATTAGTACCGCGGAATCCCTATTTTTTAGCGGTATATCAGCAGCCAAGCCACTGTCTTATCGGCCAGCGGGGGCTTCATCCGCACGATAAGAGCTATCGAATGCGGGGAAAGCTATGTAGTATCTTATTGTACTTTGAAATTTCTCTTTTCGGGTATTCATGCACAACATTACCTGATATGATCTCACCAAAATCATGGAGTTCCGAGATATCAGAGCTTGCAGGTTCTAAATACATAAGAACAAAGAAAATGCTCACGGTGGTACTCACTTTGTTCATCTTACAAGTTCTCTACCAACGTTTTTCATAATTCTACTAAGAACATGACTATCTCAACTTCCACGAAATATCGCGTAGCTGTTACTCAGCATGAGCCGGAATGGTTTGATTTGCAGAAGTCGGTGGAAAAAACATGTCGTATTATCACAGAGGCTGCAGATAACGGTGCGCAGTTAGTCACATTCGCAGAAGCATTTATTCCAGGCTATCCTGCTTGGATATGGTGAGAAACTCTAATATCTAAAACCCCATCCCATTTGCGATGCTGACCGAACAGCAGGACTCGCCCAGTCGACCCGATTCTCTCTACCACATATATCAAGAACTCCCTAGTCGTCGATTCCGATGAGATGAGAACCATCCAAGACTGTGCCGCGAAGCATGGAATCGTCGTCTCTTTAGGATTCTCCGAAAACGACAATAACTCATTGTACATTGCGCAAGCTATCATCGATGGCGATGGAACGATAGTTATGAAAAGAAGGAAGCTAAAGGCTACGCATATGGAGCGTACAATTTTTGGAGACTCTTCTGGAGATAGTCTTATGAATGTTGCTTCGACTCGCGTTGGAAAGGTTGGAACTCTAGCTTGCTGGGAACATTGTCAACCCTTGTTGAAATATCATACTTTGCATCAAAGGGAGCAAATTCATTGCTCGGCATGGCCACCCATTGTCAATCATACTGGTGGACCTGAGCTATGGTCAATGTCTCTGGAAGGTAAAGAAATACAATTCTCTCAATTGCAGGGTGTCACTAACACATATTTTCCAGGATGTCAAGCCCTTTCCCAAGTATATGCCATTGAATCTCAAACCTTCGTTCTTCATACCACCACTGTCATCACAGAAAAAGGAGTCAACGCCAATTCTTCAGAAGGAGGAGTGTTGATGTCAGCGCCAGGAGGTGGTGCCTCGGTTATTATTGGGCCCGATGGTCGGGTTGTGTCGACGCCTCTCGATTCTACAACTGAAGGAATCGTCTATGGAGATATTGATCTTGATCAAGCGCTATTTGCGCGAAGTTTCTTGGATATCTGTGGACACTATAGTAGGCCGGATCTTTTATGGCTTGGATGCGACACTCGTGAACGCAAATTAAGGGTAGAGGAGAAGCTTGAAGTCACGGAGAAGTGCTGAATTTTGCTGCCCGGTTTTTTATGAACGACCTTCACAAATGATTAGTTAATATTTATGTTTGGGTTTCGCCAATTAATTCAATTTATGATGATGTGATTTCCTATCTCATGCTGATCTACAGACTCTTTTGAACCAACATTCCGTATTCTTAGAAGAGAGATAGGGGTATATATAATTCCTAATAATGCTAAAGCTCTAAGACTCTGGGACATTGAGGTTACATTCTCAGCAGGAACTGAGCCTATAACTTTGAACCTGGTGATCCGTGCTTGTTAATAATTTGCGAGGGGCTGACCGTGACATTTTTATCTCGTTGCCATCTGACAAAGATTTTAAACATCTCCTTCTCCTCATCACTAATAACCCTCATAGGATGTTTATCGCCAACCAATACTCAAATTTGAGTACAGCCAGATGTTTCCACAAAAGACTGATTGTTTGTCACATATCAACTGATTCAATGGGACAATATATTGAGCTTCTCGGCTCACATTTTCCATTCGTCTCACTGTCATCTCTCGCGGTTTCGAAACCACCAAAAAGCAATTAGATGCTTCACGAGGCATTGATCTATCCATCACAAATCGGTTGTACGACGCTCAACTCAAATTTGAGAGAGGTAATTACCACAACAGGACAGCTGAAGTTCCAAATGGCGGGATGATGTATCCAAAAGGCTCTTGAGCATACAGAACAATATATACAGCTGCACATATCAAGATAAAAAAGCCACTTCCGGTGATTTCTGTTTAGCTGGTATAGATCCTCTCTCGCCATTGGTCTGTGGCTTCTCGAATTCCGGCTAATTATTTCCTACATGGAGGCTCATTGTAGTCTTGATATATTTTCCAAGCCAAACTCCTCTCTTACCGAGATTCTGAATATTTTTTGCTCGCTGCTGTGTTCAAGTGGCTCTGACCATCCATTGGCAGTTGCTGAATTATATGCAGATGCATCGTAATAACGTCAGGTTCATGCCACGGGTTGCTTTACCCCGCTCCCCCTTGTTTAATTTTGGGGGAGCCAATAATGAATACGCACCTACTATGTGAACCGACTTTTGGCTCCGTTCATTACACTTCATCATCTTCATATAAGTAGTCACTCATCTTTAATCTTTCAATCATCTCTGGTCTCTTCTGTGGTCAATTGACCATCGAGCCAAATACTCCCAATGGCAACACAAAACCCCACCGAAATTACCCCGCTGCTCAACCCACCACCAGAGCCCCAATCTGAAATCCTCTGTCCCAATGGCGATACCTCGACTGCCAATTCTGCTGTCCCAGACGATCCGTCCACACTCTACGTGTGGATCCTCATGATCGGACCCTTCCTATCCGCCTTCGTAGCAGCTGTTGATTCCTCCATGATTGCTACACTTTCATCACCCATAACTTCTTCATTTGGTTCATTATCTCATCTTCCATGGCTTGCTTCTGCATATTTCATAGCTAATGCTGCAGTTCAGCCTTTGTCTGGAAAACTTACTGATATTTATGGGAGACGGAGCGGGCTTGTACTTGCGAATATCGTGTTTGCATTGGGAAATTACATGTGCGCAAGTGCGAAAACGGAATGGGTATTGATTGCCGGTAGAGTGGTAGCAGGTTTGGGGGGAGGAGGGATCATGGCCATTGCCACTTTTCTCTTGTCTGATTTAGTGCCTCTAAGAGATAGAGGTATGTGGCAAGGTATTGGAAATATGATATTAGGCGTAGGATCCGGTATTGGTGGTGTACTTGGAGGATGGATTAACGATTCCCTGGATTGGAGAGCTACATTTTTATTGCAGATTCCCATCACGCTGTTGGCTACGATATGGACATGGTTCACTATACGTATACCCGCCGTAGATGATGGGGAGGGGAAATCAAAGCTCAAACGGATTGATTACTTGGGTTCAATCAGTTTATTTACAACGCTTGTTACATTACTTCTTGGTATGAGTGCCGGAGGTAACACAGTATCTTGGACCAGCCCCATCGTTCTAATCAGTCTTCCTCTGTCCTTAATATCCCTCCTGGTTTTCATCGCCACCGAACTCAAATACGCCAAAGAACCAATTATACCACTTCCTCTTCTTTGCGACCTATCCGTTGCAGGCGGCTGTCTCACAAATGCTTTCTCCTCCGCCTCCCGCTTTGCGATGATATTCTATCTCCCCCTCTTCCTCGAAGCCCAGGGCTACACCGCCACAAAAATTGGTCTCCGTTTAATACCCGGCTCAATCGGCACGGCTATCGCCTCTATGATCGCTGGATTCATAGTGAAAAGTACCGGGAGATTCTATAAACTCGGTATTGCATCCCAAGTCATCTATATTCTGGGCATGGCGTTTATCTGTACATTTACATTACGGACATCTGCCTGGCCCCCCTTTGTCTGTTTTTTTATCATTAATATTGGATATGGAATTACGCTTACTACAACTATTCTCGCGCTTTTGTCGTCGGTGGAAGCAAAAGATCAGGCGGTTATTACATCCGCACTTTTTGCTTTTCGTTCGACCGGAACGGTATTGGGGATTTCAGCAGCGGGACTCACGTTTCAAAATGTGTTGGGCAGATTATTGTGGGAGAAACTGGGGGACATAGATAATGCAGCAGAATGTATTCAGCGAATCATCGATGATTTCAAGGTAGTTGATGGTCTTGAGGAAGGGCTGAAAGAATTGGCTTTGCAGGCATATATGGGCGCTGTAAGAGCTGTTTTCTTTTTGATGTTGGCGTTGGGAGGATTAGCTTTGGTGTTTACATTGTTAATTAGGGATCGGGAATTGTCTCAGAGGATGATTCGATGATTGGCTTCTTGCTTTCTGTATTTGATTGGAATATCAGATGACAACACCAATCTATCCTTGTTTATAAAAGTTGGAATTGTATGTGTTAACAGCTTATCATAGCCTAGCATAGCTGCAGGTGAAGCATCATTGAAACTCAAGTCTGAGCCACCAATCATTAAATCCATAGTTCTAAAGCTCTTTAAAAATGTCCCATAGTGTCTACATCATGATTGTCCACCAAGTGTATCTTTCTTCCCACGATTTCCACATCACACATCAAAATCAGGCTGATGTAGAAAAAGAGGATAAGAACACATGCCATCCATTTTCAGCCCACAATTCTCATTCTTATGGCGAGCATTTTAAAAATAATTCAATGAGGCGCGCTTATGCAGCAGCTGGAAGAGACGGAACAATTTCAGATGACGAAACTTTCTCTTTTACTACTTTCCCGAATTGATATGTAAGATCTGAAGTTCTCTTATTTTCATCCTCGCGATTCCAGAGAGCTTGCGCTTACTGTTCTTCTTTTACGGTCCAGGTGCTCGCGATTGAGGACTGAGATGAATTCGCTACATGTAATGTTAGTTTGGGTGAGGGCATGATTCAAGATTGTACACATATACGACTCACCAAGTTGTTTTCCCGCATTTCGGTAATCTGTAATGTTTCTCCCAATTATACCTTTTCTGACCTCGTCGCACATTTCCTCAAGTTTTTGCTTCGCTAGTGCCTGTGTCCTCGCGAGTATCATCCCTTTTTCAAAACCTGTCGCTACCCAGGTTCCTCCCCAGTAGATTTTGGAGAAAGGTACTGCTACCATTTCCCCTCGCTGATATTTAATCTCAACGGATTCATCTCCTAGAGTCAGAGACTCAGGCAGAGTAGTGAACACCAATCCAATATCTAGAATCCGATATCGCTCAAAAAACTTGAACCATTCAGCGACGGTAAACTTGGGGCGTGTTTTGAAAACGCACACGTCGTGATTTCTGGAATTAGTTATGTTCTCAGTGATGAAGAGCGAGATGTTCTTTTCGAATTGCTGTTCTGTGGAGAGGAGACTCCATAATCTAGTTTTTTCGGCTTCGTTTTGGATGCGCCAGGAAGGGTCTTGTGGGCGATGTTTTTCTGCTTCAATTATCTTCCTCAGGCGTTCCGGTTCTGTAACTGGTTCATCATTCTCATTAAGCTCATCACCTTCATCGTTATCAACAAGTTCAACAAATTCAAAATAATCCTTCAATCTTTCCTGCATCTCTTCTCTGGTGCCAGAAGTATCCAGACCGCGAAACGCACAATACGCACGCCATTTTTTCAACTTTTCCTTGGGTGGTTCGAAATATTCCGCTTCGGGACGGTCATATTTTTCAGAGACTACTCGGTGGTTCAGGGACCAGTACAGTAAACCATCCTCTTTGTTTCGTTCCCCTTGATACACTAATTCGCCTTCTCCGTCGAGTGTAAAGTCCGTCAGGTCCTGGTGGGTAGTTTCAATGGGGTGGATAAAAATTGCGGCGGGGTTTGCGACGTATTCGGTTCTGATTATGACACCCTTGGGAGGTTTTGCTCTCTCTACTTTTCTGGGTGTGACGATCTTTGGGGGCTTGGGAGTGTTCGTTTTCTTCGCTCTAGGTGTGGTAGTTTTTCGTGGGGATTCAGGAGGGCTAGTTTTCTTTTTCTTTGGTGTGGTGAGAGTGGTACCAGGACTAGATGATGATTTTTCATTACCTGATGCAGCGGCGCTATGTTTCTGGCGTTTCGAAGGTGGTTCGTCTTCTTCCAAAATTGAGTTGTATTTTGTTACTTCTCTCTCTTCGGAGACCGAGTCTTCCCCTGATCCTAATATATCTTCAAGGCCTAGTTGGTCTTCTGATCCCAATATAGCTTCTGACCTCAATTTATCTTTCTCTCCATATGATGCCGCGGCAGTCTTTGGTTTCCCGCTGCGCGACCAGTTCATTAGGGTTGATGTTTTGGAATCAATCTTGGTCGATATGCCTCCGCAATTTACTCCTTTTCCTTTCGAGGCAGTTGATGCACCTCTCTCGCCTTGCATGGCTTTCTTCTTGAGAGTATTCTCATTTGGAGCTGGAAGCAATTCTTTGTTTGATGATTGGGGATCAGTTGAGAAGTTTAAGTATCCTCATTTCATAGAGGCGTGAGCCTCAGTAGTGTCCATGGTTGCTTGCTAATCGGGTATATGAATATTATCGGTTAACAATTTGACCGTTTCGTACGATTATATGAACTCAATCGTCCGGCGATCTTTATGTGTTGCTGACTTACAAGCTTGAAATAATAGAAAGATTACCCATTTCTGATCAGGAAGTTATTTGAGGAACTCATGGAGCGGGGCACTTCAATCCGGTCTTAATGATATACCAAGTAGGTGTGCACATGAACCAGTTAACCTCTCATCATACTGCAGAATGGAAGAAAGTTGGTAGATGATGCATCCTAGATCAATAAATGTCCAGTTTCTTTTAATCAATAAATCGACTACTGAAACTTGCAGTGGTCAAAATCCATAATTGGATGAAGCAAAAGGTAGATACTTATAATTATGCCCTCCTGATCTTTGTTCACTCATGCCTAATCATGTGATGATGCTGTTGTTCATCATACTTTGAGCCAGGGTTATAATATGCATACTCATGCATGTATGAAACTGTAGAACTTGATCCTTCATCCATACAAAAGAAAGGAACAAGAGCGATGTAACACTGGTAAAGAATGACACTCAGATTGTCACGCTTAAACCTGCTTCATCTAGCAATGCGAAAGAATTTGTGTAGGCCTAATGGAATTTATATTGAGCACTGTGGTAAAGAACAGTAAGGTTAATTTAGATGAATCGAAAGCGAGTAGGTATCTTTAGTGGTGTTAAATACTTGCTAACCCGAGAACATGCAAGTGACAATGTGACTTGCAAAGGCATGAAACGAAACCAACTGCCATTGGCCGAAAACAAATAATCCACCATATCCATCCATTTCCCCCCCGCGATATGACCTTACTAGTTCACCGGTCCGCCCAAGCCTGTTTGTATTCTAGATATTGTCTTCAGCAAACTGCGACACCCTTAGATTAAAACCTTACTAGGCTCGGTACTTATTCATATTCAATAAATGCAAGATTTCCATATTCAACACTCAATGATTTATCGAGAATTCCAAATAAGCTGACCATACATGAAGTTCGACCTCGTAAACAGAAAACATCGAATCATTGAATCGTGGAGAATGTAACCTGTCAGCCAAATTTGGTCACGCTCCACGCTATACCTTTTCAACACATCTGAATTGCATTTTGCCGAGATATCCGCTCACTCGCCAACAAAACCTCGACTAGGTACTTGTTAACACTCGTACGAGTTGCGCATTATGTATCAAAATCGCGTTTTTGATAAACCTATCACATTAAGCAAACGCTCCTTTTACATTTTCCCACAGGAAAAATCGCCGATGAAAGTCTGGCGCAAATGTTTTCTCAATACGGTGCGTGAAGAGCAAATCAGTTGGTTGCGCTTCCTTGCCAGGCAACTAGTATTTAAACAGGTATATATTGCAGAAGAGACTTCTTTTTTGCATCAAATTTTACCTCCAATGATACTGTTGCGACTCAAAGAAAACTTCCCACTCATACCTACCTATGCACACTCCAATATTTCTCGCCGTCTAATCTTTCCACATCGACACATTCAAAACACCACGCAAGTATCATCTGGATTGCATACGCAGCCTTGAAAAGTCATACTCCTCTGGAGAGCTCAATATACACACACTAGTTCCACGTATACACACAGCATGAAAACACTTATGCATAGATACCTAACCCAGACATGATCATGGGCTACAATCAGATCAATTGATCGCCAAGCTATTTCAACATGAGAAACGCAAGTGAGGACGAATCATTTTCTAGAGCGATCTGAGACCCAGCGAAAGATACCGATGTGAATCTGACATTGACACTTGTCTACTTTTGTGTGACGTTTCAGTGACTATCCTAGATTTACAAATTGTAGAAATACATGCTCGCTACAAATGTAGCTTTTTGGAGTATTCAGACGTGACAAAACTTCTAGACCTGTTACGAGAGGAAAATTGGCAAGTTTGACAAATTTTACATTCGCAGGGCTTTTCAAGTGCTGCAAATTTTGGTGGCAACAGTCGAAGAAAGCAGAAAATTGATAAGTACACCACTTAGTACCATACGAATAATAAATGTGAGGTCAGAAACATTGCATTTTTTGAAATGCTCGCTATGCTGCATTCGATACAAGTAACCTCCATCATTATCATCATCCAATCCCGTGATCTAGATGCCAATATATCACTATATAATATAGCATATACCTGCGAAGCCTTCTCACCATACACCTCCTTATTTTATTACATATATCTCCACCCTGGCAGAGGCTCTGCTCCTGATATTACTTACAGATTCGGGAATGCCACCACTACCTGCTTTTAATCTGCTATATACCGCCCATCTGATCGATGTCTTTTAGACCGCCTGCTTCCAAATATGTCTATCTTGGGGCCAACCTCATACTCAAAGTCATCATCCGCTTCGAGCTGTGCCCTATCTTCCAGTAATTGCCTACGAGTCATTGGTTCCAGCATGTCGAACTCAAGACTTAGAGATAGATTATGCATATGAGTAATGAGATCTGAACTTCGCTTAAGGTTCGGTAGTATTGAAAGGGGCTGGGGTGCCATGTTTATATGTAGATCATGCTGCTGTCGAGCTTGGTAGTATGGTAGTAAGGCTTTGGTGCCATCTTGATCTTCGTGTGCATCGAGACGATAAAGGCTAGTCTCATGATAGTTTGGACCTTGAACTGCACCAATAGCAGGATCTGGATTTATAGTGATAAATTTACTCTGAACAAAGTGGTGTGAAATCCCAACCCCTGTGTCAGGGAATTCTTGTATAATGTGGTTGTCCGGAGGATCAGGCTCCGGATGGTGCTTGATTAGCCTGGGACCTCTGAGATGTGAAAGAAAATGATTATTTTTGCCAGGCTGGACCCTCGATGAATTATCAGGCTCTTCGAGGTCTGAATTCTTCAGTTCAGGATCATCTTCGCTTCGTGTCAATAAATGAACTTTTCCTGTCGCATCGCCAATAATAAGTTTGGAAAAGTCCGAAGAAAATGCGCCGGCGCCGATCCCACCAGAGGCCGCGAGTACTTCACGAACAAATGCTTTTCCGGGCGGTCTCTTTATGTTCCAGGCTTTAACTCTGCCATCAGAAGCACCGGTATAAAACCGGTCAGAAGTTTCCCCCCAAGCAGCAAATTTAACACCGGTGTCTGCAAGTTCACGAGGAATATCATGGTAGGGGTTATCAAGCGATTCTTGGATTAATTAGCATGATGAATTATAAAAGGAAGTGTCAATTCTCACCTCCATGCGGAAGAACATGAATTGCATCGTCGCCAATAGCTCCAGTATCCCAAACATAAGTATTACCATCGGTACAGCTAGCCGTTACGTAGGACTGATGAAAGCTGTTTGGCCTGTGATTGTATTAGTCGCTGTATCGAAGATTAAAAACGCCTACTTACATGACTGTTAATTCGTTGATATCCATGGCAGGGCAATCAAGAACTCTGATTGGATAGAATGCGGTATAATTATCATTGTCGGTTCTTGCTGCAAATAATCTAATTTGCGTTTTTGTCTCGCTTTTGAAAAGGCCGTATGAAGAAGTGGCGGCTATGAAGGTTGGTTTGGTAGGATGCCAGACAACTTCAAACACATTCTGGGCACGAGCAGAAGCAATAGGAACCTTGGAACCATCAAAGGCATTCCACAAGCATAACTCTCCGCTATTTCTCTTGTCTTCTGGGATATCAACCTCATCATTGCTAAACGAGCGGGGTGAGTAGCCAACTAGTAAAAGATTCGAAACACTGTCTGCTTTACCCCATTGGACTGTAGCGGGGTAGTATGCCCATAAATTGTTATCGCGCAACTCACGGGCTTGCTCGGCGGCTTTCTCGCCATTGTACGTGTGGAACATCGATTCACTTATGCTGTCATTGTTGAGGCGATAAATACGAACAGCGTCATTGTAAACATCAGATGCTGTAGCCACAAGATCATGGTGCTCCGATGTTGTGACGAAATTGACTTTTCCTTCGTGCGGCCAGGTCCCCAATATATCCATTGACGATCCAGTATCAGATGGTGACACCCTCCAGACCTTCACAGTTCCATCAAAGCTTGCGGTGAAAGTAAGGCCACTATTGTGACTATGGGATATTGCCGAAATAGAGGTATAAAGCCAAGGATCCTGAGTTTGCCTCATAGAGTCAAGAGCATTCTCAGTATTGTCTCTCACATTCACAATTGGCCGTGCAATACGATGATCTGGCATTGCATCCAAGGTCTCTTTGGAAACAGAACCAACTACGAGATTACCTGGTTTGTTGTATTGCATATTGTGGCTATCAGAATGTGCAGTAGCACCACATACAAAAGCATCACTACTTGTCCAACTGATGGCCCAAATGTCACCGCAGCAATCTGTCCACTCAACTTTTCTTTGCAATGAGTCCTCAAGGGCAGAATTGATCTCTCGCACGTATGATTTGTGACCCCCACAGGATCGAATGGGGGCCATGCCGTGTACTTCACGTTGAGCTAAAAGCCCAGAAAACTGTCTAGGAGACCTTTTAGGACCTACCATAAGGGTTCTTGAATTCATTGATACTTCGCCATTAGCGGCATCTCTGAGAAAAGCAGCCAATGATATTGTTCCACGACTCTGAATAAGGCGCTGGCTAGTATCTTCACAGGGTTGCGATATCAACAACGAGACCAATTCAGGTACTTCCAGCGTCTGCTTTTGCATGAGTAGTGCCATGCTTGGCTTCCCTCTTAGTTGTGTCTGCGATTTCAGAACTTTGCGTACAATTGATAGTTCTTCCTCACAGAAATCAATGTGGTAGACGAGCCCAAGAAGTACCTCTCTTTCTTGATCAGAGACGCGTTGGAGACCACGGCGGATTCTCTCACGACCCCTAGCATCGATATAAGGCCG